AGTGATAAACGTGCAAGTAGCATTTTTAACTTAATCTGCTATGTATTTAGAGATTCTTGATAAAACCTAAAGTAGAATCTGCAATGTTATCGGACCTGCTCTGACATCTCGTCTTCAGTCATCTTCTCACTGATGTAACGTGGCTTCTCTGTGCCTTTTCTATCAATATGTTCAGCGTAACTGTTCTGGTGAGCTTTCCTGTTTGGTACCTCGATTTTACGAATTTAAGTTCAGTACTAGATTGGCGGTCTGGTCTCACCATTCTACAGTTGAAATGGCTAGATGTAGCCGTAAGTTCTATGTTAACGGTTTCTTCACTCGCACTTCACGCTTGTGGAACTCTCTTTCGGTTTCTTACTTTCCAGTCGGCTTTGATATTAAAAAAAATTAAAATGTAATGTCAATCGTTATTATTTGTCTTCTTAATTTAGGTTTATTGTTTTCTCTCCTTAATAAAGTTTTAATTTTCTCATTTTCTTGCACCATAATGGCTTTATTGCCTTGCTTTATATCCTATAGGTTTATTAATAAAAACCTATAGACTGACGCTACAAAATAGCAAAGACGTTTAACAAATAACAAAAAAAACCCCCAAAAAACAAAGTCATATTACCTGAACACTTCCGGCAGCAGTAGCAACAACGAAAATGGGTAGAACGTATAAATAAAAGAAGACATATTGATAAAAAAAAAGATATTAAATTTCCATACCACTAAAAACAAAAGGCTTGAAAGAAAACTCCTATCAATTCTAATATGAGCCATAAAATTTAGTGGACTGTAGATGTCTGTTTAAATGACAGCAGATCTTCAACGGCAACATCAGCAGCTGCAACAAAAGAGAAAACTTTAGCAAGTGCAGTTAATCAGCAGGCAGGTTAGGTTTAAGGCTCCAAGTTCTTCACAGACAATTGTCTCACGGAACAATAGCTTAGCGAATTACCACCTTAGTTAGCGAATTTGGTGAAATAGTAATTGCGAGTTCAATCCCGACGAGTGTGTACTTGGACTAAATGGAAATGGAGTGAGCAGTAATTGAGTAGTACTAAAATAAGAACTAGATATAGGAAGTGGGACCAGAGCAAATAAAGGGTTCAATTCGAAATTCTCTGTAGGTTTCCCGGATTATACATGATGAGGGATGGCGGGCACAACAAAGATGAGAAAAATGTAAATAGTGTAAATAATGTAGAAGTCTAATTGCCTTAAAAGTGTTTATAAATTTCAACTAATTCTTCGACAAATGAATGCCGATGTTTCCTGTATGAAATGAATCAATATCACCACCACAATTACTAGGATGAATAAAAATACTCGATAAGGATAGCTGACTTCTTGGGTATCGGGGCTGCGTAATATAGAATTCGTCAAAAATATTAATGTTTTATGAATCTCAAATGTTATGAATAAATCAAAATAGTTCGAGTAATACTATCGCTTAAATTTGATAATATTAAATAATTTTGCAAAAGTAAATAAAAACTTACGATATAACATTTTGGTGCGTGACTAGACTCCAAATGAATTTTTTAAGCGCTCCAAGGAAGGCATTAATGTCACTAAAACACAAGGGGTTATATGTTGTGGAAGAATGAAGAACAGAAACATTAATGGTGAGCAGAAATAGAAGCATAGAAACTTTACTAAGGAGCAGGAATAAAAGAAGAGGAGGACAGTAGATAGTGAATGACATTGCATTTAAATTTTTGCAGATTAAAGTTGGCTGGAAAGCATGGAGCGAGATGGTACTTTCACAAGCGAGTAGTGTGAGAGAAGAAACTGTTAGCATAGAATTTACGGCTACATCTAGCCAGCTCAACCGTAAATTGATGAGATCTCGACGCCAGTCTAGTGTTACGCTTAAATTAAAAAAAACTCTAGGTACCATAGCGACGAGCTCATTTGAACAATTACCATGAAGGTATTTATAGAAAAAAACAAAAAACAAAAAAAAACACAGGGTGGCAAAATTACAGCAATGGGAAAGTGACTGAAGCCGATCCGCCAGATCAGGACCAATAATATTGCTGATTCTTCTTTGGATTTTATCAAGGAGCTGCAGGAAAATAACAAGGGCACCTCATATGGCGCCAATATTCTAAGCATGGATGAATGGTAGACTTATAGACATACAAGTCAAGAGAGAAGAATTTTCTTGCACGACACAGTTAACCGACTTTCTTAGCAACTGACCTAGCAACGGATTCAATATAGTCTTTCCACTTCATGTCAGATGAGAACGTTAAACCGAAAAGGCGCAACGAGTCACTTTAGTGGAGGTTAGCATCAGCCATGCTGATGAAAGGCAGAAAGGGGTCTCTCAGATGATTAATAGATAGAAGTTTAATTTTGGAGGCGTTAAAATGAACAAGCCATCTTTTGTCCCATTTAACTATAGACTTGAAGTCGTTTTGGACATCGGCTTCCATTTTGTCCTTGTCAGGCTGATAGGCCTTTGTTTGTTCGGGGTACAGCGTCAGTGCGTCACCCATTCTGCGACAACTTCGTATTCTCTTTTATTTATGGCATCATTTCAGAGATTACATTCACAACGTTAGGTCAGTACACAGAGTAAAGAACATAGAGACTTTTCAGTTTTTATCAAAATATTCACTATATAAAATCCTAATTTTATTCTATATTTGTTGACCTATTTTTAGAGATGACCTATTTTTAGAGATGACCTGTTTACTGTTTTTAAAAGTCGCAATAAATAAAAGCTATGCATCATTAAATTAAAAAAAATATTATTATGCTTGCATGAAACATTCATACTTATATCATCATATTTTTTGTTTTTATTTCCATGTTTCGGCCGATGTTATTCTTCAGGTTCCCAAGAGACGATAATGCATCAGCTAATCTTGTCACTCTGTATTTTTGCTTTGAATTGATGATGTAAAATAAATAAATACCGGATGACTCTCAAAGATTACCGAATATAATGTAATCCTGAAGAAGGTCGAATAATACATCGATTGAAATGTGATGGTTAAATATCGAAGTCAAGTATAGTAATCTGAACTTATAAAATAACTATTCACCACTGTCGTGGGTCAACGATAGATAAATAGTTTAATATGCCAAAAACATATATCATGTTGCGTTCCGTGTCGTCAATGGATTCCAACGCCACTCCATAGATGGCACCAACGAAAGATGGTGACTTTTTCTTACTCGTTTTATTAGGGTAGCGGGACAGACGTGACAGCATGGATTCTAAGAAGTAGCGGGGTGGCGGGAAAAGAACATTAAGGGGTCGCATGCCTCTCCGTGGCTTAGCCTCGCTCCGCGTGTAGTTTTAGTCTCTTTCTTGAAACTGGGTGTGGGAAGCATATCGACGCTTCAAAATACTTGCGGCCTTCTGTTGACTTTGCGCCGTTTTGAACTTATACCCAAAATTTAGACAAAGGCAATCCATCACTCTCAGTATACCACGCCCACAAAATATTCCGACCAATCGCTGACCATCTTGGCCCAGCCCCCGCCTTCTGGAATACTTACTTAGTGTCCTTCATGGTTCACTAAGATTTAAGAATATTTTAGTTTTCTCATTCAAAATTTGAACGCTTAACGTTATTTTTGTCCACGTTACTTCTGTGTATAAAAACATGTTTCTAACTAAAATTTATACACTTGCCTTAATGGTTAACAAGCTTATCTCGCTAGAACAATTAGGACTGAATAGTGAGTTCGATCCTCACTGGGTACTTCATACTTTCGACGTTGTGCCACATCTAAGCAGCGCTTAAAAATCACTGTTGGGCATCTTGAGGTGGTGTAATGGTTAGCACGCTTATCTCGCTAGAACTATTACGACTGAGAAGTGAGTTCGATCCTCACTGGGTGCTCCATAATTTCGACCTTGTGCCACATCTAATCTAGCTTAGAAAATCATTAGGGCACCTCAAGGTGGTGTAATGGTTAGCAAGCTTGTCTCGCTAGAACTATTACGACTGAGAAGTGAGTTCTATCCTCACTGGGTGCCCCATACTTTTGGCTTTGTGCAACATCTGAGCTACGCTTGGAACATCATTCGCCTGGATAAAGTTCCTCAAGGTTACTTTTTTGTTATTTATAAATAGATGATCGCGAATTCCGTGATCATGTGCTACAGCCGCAGTGGTGTTTCAAGATAACCTGACGGAGCCCAACCTTCTTCAGGACGGTTTTGAATTCCGAGTTACCTTCTTCAAGCATATATAACCCAGTTTGTCCTGTTGGGAGAGAGAAGGAGTGGGGCCATACATTTCCCAACGTATTAGCACGTAAGTGAATCCGACTGGAATTCGAACTCGGCTCTCAGATCCATTATTCCACCATTACTATCTATCTAATTGATAGATAAAACAAATATAAAAAAGTAACACGAGAAATAGAACAGAGTATGGAATAGAACTCAAGAAAGGTTTGACGGATTTTAAAATTTTGTCTGCACCCCGGGTGAATATTTGGAAACAATGAAGTTAATTATTTTGCCAGGAACGATGAGAAAGCTTATAAGAATAAAACCCGGTTATATCTGTGAAATATCGGATCAATCTCCTACGTACGACCAAATCAACAAAGAAATGGTTTTGCAAATAGCAACACTTGTTCTTGTGATATCTTTCTGATTATTCTGTGTCAGCCTTGAACTGTTCAGCCTTGATCACGTGACTGTCTGGGCTCGTCAGACTGTAGACGCAGGAAAAATAGTGGAAGTCGGGGTAAGGCTGTGGAATGTGAGTGGAAAACTTGAGGGCGGATCTAGAATTTCTTGAAGAAGCTGTAACAATTCGGTGGATCGATTCGTTCTTCCTTACCACCCCCTCTTTTCTTTCTTTATTGTTCGCTAGGAAATCCTTTAAGATCGATAAAATGAATTTTTAACAACGCGGGGATTTCCGTGTAACTCATTGCTTTTTGCACGCCGGAGAATCTGTTTACAAAATTAGATTACGACAGCATGAGAGAGAAAGAGAAGAAATAAAGAAAGAGAGAAAGTAGGTAAAAATGATTTAGAGAGGTAAACAACGGCGGAAAAAAAGGACAGTGAAAAAAGGGGGGGGGGGCAAAGGAAAGAGGGGGAGAGAAAAGGGCGGGAAAAGGAAAGAAGCCGGGAATGTGGGGAAAAAAGGAAAGAGAGAGAGAGGAAAAGAAAGGTGAACAGGAAAGAGAGAAGTATAGAGGCGGGGGAAGAAAATATAGAGAAGTAGAAAAGAGAGGGAAAGAAGAGGCAAAGAATTCAAAAAGAAAGAAGAAAAGAAAAGAGAGAAAGAGAGAAAAACGAAAAAGAGAGAAAAGGAAAGAGAGGAGGAAAGGAAAGAGTGAGAAAAAGGAAAGAGAGGAAGAAAAAGGGAAAGAAAAAAGAAAATTGAAAGAGAGGGAACGGCAGGAAAATTAAAAGAGCCGGAAAGAAAGGAAAAATAGAAGAGAGGTAAAGAAGTGAAAAATGAAAGAGAGGGGTAAAAGAGTGAAAATGGAGAGAGAGAGAGAGAGAGAGAGAGAGAGAGAGAGAGAGAGTGAAAAAGAAAAAAGAAAGGGAAAGAAAGAAACAAGAAAAAAAAGGAAGATTGGAAAAAGAAAGAAAGAAAGAAAGAAAGAAAAAAAATGATACCGCAACCTTTGGTGCGTACATATATATGATAAACTTGAAATAAATTTTGTTCATCTCAATATAGAAATTACCACCAACATTTCAAAACCGTTACAAATATAATTAATGTTTACAAACAAAGCGAGATTCTACCGAAACCGGGCGAAAATAACTTCGTCAAAAATACGTCGGCTACACATCTTAAGATTTAAAGAAAAGAATATGAAAAGTGAAGTTAAGCTTAACCAATGTACTTGCACGTCACAAGATCCTTCGTGAGCACAATTCTGACCTGGAAAAGTTCATTAAAGAGGCACACTTTCTTTAATAAGACTCTTAATCTCTAAGCCAGTGGACATTAATTCCACTATTAAATCTAAGAATGTCTATTTAAACATGCTTTCCCTCGAAATATAACTCTTATGATATATTTTTTTTTATAAAAAGAAAACCTTTGAAAAGTGGACCTACATCACGAAACTGCGTAGTCGGGATAATAATAATAATCAAATACGGATAAATTAATTTACAGTAAATTTTTCAATTTCAATATATATATATATATATATATATATATATATATATATATATATATGTATATATATATATATATATATATATATATATATATATATATATGTTATTTCTATATGTTGTGGTGTCCTCCCTCTAAAGAGTCTATGTTGGACTCTTCCGCCTACTATAAGGTTAGTAGGAGAGAAGGCCTTGGGAGAACAGTCGAATACATTGAACGCTGGGTTAACCGACACACACTCACTAGTCGTGTAATACTTTTCTGTTGTACTTACTGTTTAATATATGATATATCTGCAACACTTGTTTTGTTATTTCTTAAACCATTTACTTGGTCACAACAATATATATATATATATATATATATATATTTAGATTAGCCATCTAGTAGACAGGTATACTCGAATACGAGTGGCCAGCTATTAATATTATTATATATATTAATAATTATACATATACTATTTTTATGTTTATAGATTCCTTTTTATAGATACAAATATTTAATATTTACAAATATAAACATAAAAATGACTTAAAATAATTGTCGGACTTTGTCCACTACATAATGTGTGACATATACCTACGTTTACAGTACGACTCAGAGTTTCATAGTTTTCCCATTTATCAAGTACAAAAAGTTATGAACTGTTCAATGTGGTTGTTTTTTCTGGGTCTCATGGGAGCAATGACACATTTTATGTGGATTAAAAGTTCAAGCTTATTAGAAATATAATATAGCATTGAGGTATACATTCAAAATATAGTGTAGGTATGTAGATATTGAAAAATGAACTAAGTTATTATTAGCAAGTATAAGAGGGAAATTGATACGTTAATGTATATTGAGTTGATGGATATGAATATTGCAATGGGAACTTAAAAAGTTGATAGTCACCAAATAAAATGCGTGAGTGTGCAAAAAATAATATAAGGTAAGGCAAAAAAGAAGGTAGAGTAAGGCAAAAAAGAAGGTAGAGTAAGGCAAAAAGAATATAGGGTACGGCAAAAAGAATATAGATTAAGGCAAAAAGAATATAGGGTAAGGCAAAAAGAATATAGATTAAGGCAAAAAGAATATAGGGTAAGGCAAAAAAGAATATAAGGTAAAGCAAAAAAGAAGGTAGAGTAAGGCAAATAGAAGGTAGAGTAAGGCAAAAAAGAAGGTAGAATAAGGCAAAAAGAATATAGGGCAAGGCAAAAAAAGAATATAGATTAAGGCAAGAAGAATATAGGGTAAGGCAAAAAAATATAATGTAAGGCAAAAAAAGAATGTAGAGTAAGGCAAAAAGAATATACGGTAAGGCAAAAAAAGAATATAAGGTAAGGAAAAGTAAAAAGTATAAGTTGCCATCCAAGGCTATAGCTGGAGGGAGAAGAAGAGGATTCATGCCCAGATTAGCAAATTATTATATATTATATATCTAAGTTTTTAATTTGTTATATTATTTTCTGTTAGTGTTAAAAACACTTACTGAGTGCATAATAGTGATTATATCATTCATATATGACCATTGACATTGCATTTAAACTTTTGGATATCGTGGTTGACAGACAATCAGCAAGCCAGAAGAGAGTTCCACAAACGAGAATTGTGAGAGAAAAAACAATTAGCATCGAACATATGGTTAGAACTCGCAATTTCAAAACCGAGTTTATGAGATCTAGCTGCCAATGTAGTCCTGCGCTTAAATTCTTGAAATCGAGGTTCCAAACGAGGAAAGCTCATAAACCAGTTACTGTGAAAATATTTACAGAAGAGACTTTCTTATATATATATATATATATATATATATATATATATATATATATATATATATATATGTTCTATATATATATATATATATATATGTTCTGAAGATGGTCTATTATACCGAAACGTCCGACATTGACATTAAACATTAAAACAGCATAATCGCATATTAGGATTTTTGTTTGTTTTTTCAGTATATTTTTCTTCATACTCTCGGATCTATATCCATATATTTTCTTACTTATACGTATATAATTATATATGAGATATTTATCTATATTTCTGTGTTTAGGAGTTTTGTTTTTTTAATATATTAGTTAATGTTATTTTTATGCGTATATATTTATTTTTTTATCCATTTCTATATATTTTAGTGTCCGTTTTCCTTATGTTGTTCATTGATGAATAATTGTTTTTCTATCCTACTCATATTAAATTTTATCTAGTCAGCCATTTTTATCTGTATATCTTTGCCCGTATAAGTTATATTTTAATAGTATGTTAGAATTCGTTTACTAACACTTTCAAATTTGATTATTTTTTGGTGGGAATATGTGCGTGTCTTCATCATTGTTTGTGTGTATAATCGCTTATATGTACCTTTCATTGTATGTATATGTTGTCATTTTCTTTTCTTTTAAGCGTCGTGGACACTTATTTCCTGTCTCGTCGCTTTTTTGCGTATATATATATATATATATATATATATATATATATGTGTGTGTGTGTGTCTACGTGTTTGTGTATTATAATCTGATTGTGTATGTTTTGTCTTTTGCAAGTTTTCCCCCTCCCCTAACCACATCTTCACTTCAAATGTATCTAAGTTGTAACAGAGCTCAGAGCAACATTAAATTTTAACGTTTATTCCTACTTAATTTTTGGCCTTTCAATAAAAACAAAATAAATAACAAAACATATGTATTTTTTTCTTCAGTTTCTTCTTTAAATAATATTATATTTTTTTAAACTTAATATAGATTAAATTTAAAATTGGTAATTCTTAATTTTATAGTATAATTTAATATTAATTAGAATGAATTCTATTTTAGTCTAGCTCTAACATTAAAGTAATAAATAATTATTATAACGAAAGTTCGTTGTCAAGTTTTTTGAATTCTCATTTACTTGTATTTTGATTGGTCATTCCAGCTTATGTAACAGCGTGGGGTGTTTAATTGATTTGAACCTTTTAAACCCTTTCTTCTACATTGAACATCATCACTTGATAAGACACCAGAAGTGTTGAAACGAAATGGCTATTTTTGTAGTGATTTTATAACATATCTATGTTATAATTTTCGAATAAATAATTATATTTGCTCTACTGTGTATTCAGCACTCTTTTAAGAATAGTATTTTTTGGCTATTGCAATTTATTCCGTATACATCAATCCTATACTTGGGTATATATATATATATTTGGTTGGATAGATGTGAGTTTGTGACCCTGGGTTTCACGCTTTAGCGATCGTCAGACAAACTGATTAATGTTTTAAAAAATTTGGGTTTATGTAGATTGCATTTGGGTTTATGTAGATTACATAAACCCAAATTTTTTAAAACATTAATCAGTTTGTCTGACGATCGCTAAAGCGTGAAACCCAGGGTCACAAACTCACATCTATCCAACCAAATATGTTAGCTCTATCTCTGATATTGAGCGCTTTCTAATAAGTACTGCATATAATATATAAATAATTATACATATATATTTATTTATATTTATTACACTTTTCATATATATATATATATATATATATATATATATATATATATATATATATATATATATATATAAAAAAAGTGTGTGTAGCTTTTTTTTTGCTTTGATTCGTTTTCTACAGTTTATCAACCATTTACAGGTTATTTAAAGTCAGAAAATATTTTTAGATTGTAATAATGTTTTAGGGAGACATAACATTGTTTTACTGATACAAGTCTGGCTAATGGACCTATAGCTGGGGGGGGGGAGAAGAAGTGGATTCATACTCTTCCCAAAGGGATTTGCGCGTGTGTAAATACAACGGACCCAACGGGTATTGGAACTCAGCTCTCCGATTAACTATCCTGAGCCATTATCTATGGATTATACCAACCGCATATCCAAATCTACATTACCTGGTATTTCCAAGCGGTCACTCATCTAGGTACTGACCAAGTTCGACGTTGCTTAACTTCGGTGATCGTACAGGAGCCGGTGTTTCAAGGTGATTTGCCCGCAATCCCCCCTCGTCTCTCTCTCTCTCTCTCTCTCTCTCTCTCTCTGTGTTTGCATATTTTTGTTTTTCTTCGTTGTCTGAATTCTCTGTATAATTATTACGTGCAAATTTGCCGACAGCACTTGAGACAATTTTCTCATATTGTCATTTCTACAAGAGTAATACCGAGAACAAGGAGAAAAACAGTGATATTGAGAAAGAGAGAGACAAAGAAAATAAAGAAGATAGACGCAGGAGAGAGAGAGAGAGAGAGAGAGAGAGAGAGAGAGAGGGGGGAAATTGAGATTAGAGCGTGAGAGAGGGAGAAACAGACTGATTAAAACAAAGAGAAAGAGAGTAAGAGGTAGACATATCCAGAAAAAGAAAAACAGAAAAAAAGATATACATTCAAAAAGCAAATATAGATAAAAAGGGATCACGAATAGATGGCAGTAGATAGAAGCCAACGAACGACAGAGACTTGGATTTGTCCCTTGTGAGGCTGACTTCAGGTTGGTCCTTAGCAGCTATAAAGAGATCAATTTGCAAGTTTTGGCAGGCAGTAAAAATTACTGGCTTCATCAAGTGGAAGCTAATCAAATCCGAAGCGAAAGCTTGCTCATCTAATATTCGCCTTGTTGTGATTTAAGCTTATCTATGCCAACCGTCCAAGAAACAGAAGAATTTCGTTAGAAAGAAAGATAAGAGTGCCGATGTCATAGTTCGTGGTCACTGTTTCTCATACCCGGCAAAATTGGGATCAAGTACGGCATTCCAGTCACGAGGTAAAACTAGCCGTTTCGACGTTATCATGAGCTGGCTGATCCGACGGCTTCCTGATTTCTACTGACATTGGGCGCAATAACCCCAGGAAAAGAGAATGCTTTCTCCTTTATGGTAACAACCAACACGTACAATTCGTCTGTTGAATCCGAGAAGGCAATTGAACAGGTCACGTCCAAAGAACGAGTTACTAACCAAGAAACCTCACCTCGAATGACCGAGCAGAGACGGAGCCTCTTCGACAGAATACGCTCATAGTCGCTTGCAAACGATATATTCATGTCGTGGCGCTTGAGGTATCGAGTGAGATGAGACTTTTTCAGCCCCTGGCTATTCAACGTTTCTCATTAGAATGCCCTGAACAAATCTTATTTTCGCAATCGAAGTGAACACTCCAGAAGTCAGTACACCGATGGTCTGCCGCATAGAATCTTGGCTCATTTCAATTTTAATGACATCTTGAGACAGCAGCTCAATGATGTCGCTCGGGAATGTTAGTTTCAAGTCGAAAATGATGGAGAAAGATAAACGGTGACCCTCCCCGAACAAAATTATTTTTACTTTCTACGTTGTCATAGATGGCCAGTGGAGAAGATATTTCGATAGAATTGTTTGCCTCCTCCAACGTTGCCGATATTTTCCGTGTGACCGGAGAGCTGCGAATGACCCTCATTACTCATTGAGCCTGAGGAAAATTTCAAGATTCCTCTACACATCGACCATTAGGAGATTTCCCTCAGGTGTTATAGATTCATTTTTGCTAGAATGGTCGGGTTCACAAGGCAGACGCCTTCTCCGATATGATTCTTCCTTTTGGGTTCTATGTATTCTTTATGCGGACCTCCTCTTTGGAATTCTCGACAGAGGAGCTCACTGGTATTCTGTTGTTCATGATGACGGTCGTCTTTGAGTATAGAATCCAGAGGTTAGCAGTGAATATTTCGAAGACAGTAGGGAAGCGTTGTTCAGGTTAGCAGTGGATATGCCGGTAAAAGTAGCATAGCATAGTTCTTCTTTCTGATCCTCTTCGCCTGACAAGCTTGCACTGGACATTCGGATAGAGTAAACAAAATGGCCGCCTTTATACGCGACGGATTGAATATTCTACGTCTTCTGATTGGTTAACCCTTCTCTTGGTGGACTATAAAGTGAGTCAAGTCATTTGGTCTAGCTCACTAGTACATACATATACACAAAAAACTGCAACAATAATTTATGTTGGTGGTTGTGGTGGTAGCGGCAGTGGAATGGGTGGTGGACTGTTTGGTAGTGAAGGTGAAATATTTTTCTTTAAAGGGATAATTTTTGCTTGGTGGAGGGGAAAGTTGACTGTAGTATCAGTTTTTCCGTCTCCGGCGTGTACGTTGTAATTGGTAATCTAGGTGGAGTCTTCAAGCTAGTAAATGCAGTGTTGGTAATGTCAGTTGTTTTTCGAAATAATAGCCTTTACCTTTTACCTTTTGGAGAAGACGATTTGCTGGAGGATGCAGCTCCATCCACTGGTCTAGCCTTGGTTTCCTTTCGGCCTTCTGCCGGATCGGCAGCTTTCGGCCATCCATGATCAGTCATTTCGGAATGGCATTGACGGCCTTACCATCTGTTATGAGATGAGAACGCCAATCGTCCCGAATTATATCCAGGCTTACTGCTACGATGTTTTTATATTGCATAAAATACCCCTAGCTGCAGGTCTGGGTGTTAGGCACTTCATACACCGCCATTCGTGTCAACCGCTGACCCTCAGATGCATTCATTTTAATAATATCTTTGTTTTGCAGATCTTACTTTGTCAGGGCTACTCAGTCTTCTGGTTTGGGTAGAAGTAAGATCCATACTGAGAAGTCCTTACTTTCGACAATTTGTTGACAAATGACCCCCAGATCTTACAATATCTTGACGATATGGTTCTTAGTAGATTTTAATATCTTGTTTTTCATGTCGACAACGATTATTAAGGCAATTATTTTCTTAAAAAAATTCAGTTCCGTTGGGTGTACAATTAACCCACCCTTTGTAACCAGGTAGACAATTTTTTGGCGTGATGAGCAAACCCGTTTAGGTCGATGATAAATGTAGGCTTTGAGTTCCAGGTGGAAAGAGAGGCCCCGGTTTTGTAGTCTCATTTTCTTTAGTCTTATTTTTAGTTCCATTTCTTCACGTTTATCATTATAGTCTTTCTGTGTCTTTTCCTTTTCTGATTCCCCCTGTTTAGGAAGTCTTCTGGTCATTATTTTTGTATCTTTCTCAGTAGTCCCTTTTTTAGCAAAGGATTTAAATAGGGCTTAAACAGCTCTGTCGACATCTCCCTCATCCATATGGACAAAGTATACTTGCGAAAAAAAAAAAAGGTTCTTTTCGGTGGGTACTAGTCAGTTTCGTACAGACTGTTGTTGATATTTTTTAAATGGACAACGATGTGTCGTTAGATCCGACCTGATCTACACCGACTCAATTACGGAGTTCGCCATCGATCAAGCAAAGCCAAATAGCGCCTTATAAACGCAAATCCTTACCAGATTCTCGAAAGTTATATCAATCCAGTTTCGTATCTGAACGTAAATACAGCAATTTCTAAAGTAATGGATGTTTTTATTTATTACTCCGACAAATTTTATCACTGTAACTTTATTTTAATGGTTACCCATATTTGAGTAGACCTCCAGTTAATTTATCAGACAGTATAATTATTTATTTTCATTTACCTGTCTTTTAATATGATTTCCCGAATATTCGAATAACATACTTTAGCGTTTCATTTATTGATTAATTCCCTTACTACGGCTTAACCACCATTTACAGTTTATTTAAAGCCAGAAAACACCTTTAGATTGCAGGAAGTTTTTGTTTTGGAGATGATAATGTTTAAGTGATACAAGTCTTACTAATTAATCCACAGTTGGGGAGAATAGGTGGATTCATACCTTTCGCAATAATATTTGCGCGTAAGTGAATATAACGAACCCAACGGGAATTGGAACTCAACTCTCTGATTAACAATGTCGAGTCATTATCCATTACACCACCCGCACATCCAAGCTTAGAGCAAATTTTATTCTCAAGCGGTCACCCATCTAGGTACTGACCAGGCTTGACGTTGCTTAACTTCGATGATGGTACGGTAACCGGTGTTTTAATGTGATGTGGCCGTTAGGCTTTTAATGTTTGCACAGCAGTGGCAGTGGATTAAAGGAAAATAGTGTTCTTTTTAAGGATAGCACAAAGCCGGACACAGCAAAAATAACAAATATTTCATAACGACAAAATTGCAATATGAGCTCTGGTAAAAAACGTTTACTGAGACATTAAGTTTATGTCCCCCAAAAATTAATACACTGATGTCCTCAAGGACACATGTCCCAGTGGATAAAAGCGTTGGTTGGATCCAGTGACTTGACCCAAAGAGTTATGAGTTCAACTGAAGATAACTGAGACGTCCGGAAGAAGCGTGGCACATGGACCTACAACCAATGAACAACCTACCCCGATGGACGCAATAATTCAAATCAAGTTCAATATCCCAATCACCTGAAGACGGCCGAAACGTCGTGAATAGGGCAACAAAGATGAGGACAACTGTCCAAACAATGTAGATATTTTATACACATTTTAAAATTCCGCTCCCTGCGGTTAAATATATTTCATTTAATGTGGATTGCTTCTTTTGTATAATAGTTTGCTTCGATCGTTTTCAATCTTTCTTTACACTTAGTGATTTATAGTATTTGGTAGGATCCATTAAATTGAGTCATAAGTAATTTCTGCTTTTGGGAAGCAATTTTAACGGCGAATATATCATCCTAACTAACCGTTCCTTAAATAATAATAAAAGGTGATGAAAAATGAGTTTCATTCAACAATGTTCAACGCAAAATGCCGTGGACTGACACGGAGAAATCTCTACAACCTACACCAAAAGCTGTGTTGCTTGGAAGAAAGCTAATGTCATGAATGTGGTGGGATCATCATGTTAAAACGTAGTTAAAAACACTAAATGCACATTTATACGTACAGCAGCTGCAATATGCCCATGCTAATTTTGTCAAAAAGCGACCAGCACTCGTCAATAGAAAAAAAAATGTTGATTTTTATGTCAACACAAATTGGAACTCGTGTGGTCTGTTCGACTCTACCTGGATTTGTACCAATCGATTATTACATTTTTCGATTGCTGCAAAACGCTTTGATAGGGAAAACTTTCTCTAGTGTAAACCAGATTCAAGAGTTAATCGAAAAACTTTTTGTATCAAAACCTGCGGAATTTTATTCAAAAGGTGTTGAACAGCTGTCTGATAAGAAGTAAGAAGTCCTTCCAAATAATGGTGAATATATATTTAAATAAAACATAACTGGATATTATTTTTTGAAGAAGAAAATTGGTAAACAAAAACAGAAATTATGTGCAAGTCAATCTAATAAAAGCTTAAGTTTGTTTATAATTGATGCTTGGATAAGGGAGGACTGTCTGCATTTGATTTACAGACTGACTCCAGCTTTGATGCCTGGATTTCAATCCACCATTTTGAATTCAACCAAGTAAGCAACGAATAAAGTTGTTTCCGGTTGGATGACAAAAGTATGATGTGGTTGCTACTTGAAAATCGACTATTATACGCATGGTCGCATACTGACTGTCTTAGAAACTGACACATGTCTTTAATGCAATTGGGAAGTTTTCGTTCACGTCACTAAACAATTTATACAGTTTCGTGTGTAACTACTTCCGCTTGAACGATACTGAGAAGTTAGAAAGTTATTGATTGTTAATTATTGACAATGATAGCATGAAGATCTCCATATCTGTCGGCCATCAATGGTAATTGAAAAGGAATATATAGAAACATTCAGGATTAATTGACCCAGTGCTATTTTGGGCTGAAATTTATAAAATCTTTCTTTTAAAACAAGTTTTCACGTTTCTCAACCCCAGTAGCTGTTATTTTCAGAGAGTTTTTTGATGAGGTGATGTGTAACGTCAGCATTAAGTCATTTTCTTTTGTGCTATCCATTTTAAATTCTTGTCGTCGTTGAAAGACTTCAAGGGATGTGGTTTCTGTTATCTGGCAGAGTTCTTTCTTTGTGGCTCTGTAGCGCCAGTACGCGAGGTTCGAAGAACGTTGAACTTGTAGTTAAATCTCTCTGAAAACACCAGTTGCCGCTCGATCACCGAAGTTAAGCAGCATCAAGACCAGTCAGTACTTAGATGGAGGACCTAATAGGAACAATGGGTAAGCAACCAGTAAGCAACCTCCTATAATTCGAAACATATTCCCGATTTAAATAATCCACAAAGGGTTGATAAGCCGTAAAATTCAAAACAAATCAGTGATACTCGCTGAGACCTACACGCTTCACAAACACGAAGCCATTTTAAATCATCGATCTGAGAAAGTAATTGTATACAGCTGAGAGTTTAGATATTTCTGAACGAGATTGGTACGGATGCCATGCATAGCACCAATATCTCAAAGTCAGTTGACCACTGGCATTTTCAAATATATACCACTGTTTCCAGCCTTAATAGTACAATCGTCGGAATTTTCTCAACTTTTCAACATATATCTGTTTCATTTCCTTTGTTCTGAGTGTTCCAGGTTTTTTAGACACAACCATATCCCCGCAGTTCCCCTGTTCTTTATATTTCTATATTTCCCGCTTTCTCCTGCCATGACAGACGACTTTACTATATCTACAGTCAGGACCATTTTCTTGATTTGGAGAGATCGATCGATCGATCGATCTACATAATAAAAAAAATCCTGCAAAAATGTTGACAGATATTGACTATGCAGATGATCTAGCTATCACTGCAGACAACATTATCAATGTCACAGTTCTCCTACATCATCTCGAAAACGCTGCTAACGATGTTGGTCTCTATGTCATTGTCTCTAAAACTTAATTCATATGATTCAACCAGCAAGGCTCAATACAAAATGTCTCGGATGAATCAATAAAATCTGTTGAATCTTTTACATACTTAAAAAGCGAAATAAATCCTACAGAAAAGGATGTGAAGATTCGCATAGCTAAGGCTTGGGTTACCTTGAATAAAATGGATGTCATCTGGAAAATCGAATTATCGGGCATTTCAAACGGAAATTCTTTCAAGCCACTGTAGAGTCAGTGCTAATGTATGGACTTCTTGGACATTAACTAAACCCTAGATTCTAACTTTGATGTAACCTACACTCGCATGCTGAGAGCTATACTTAACATCTCTTGGAGACAACATCCAACTAAATCACAGCTCTATGGAACCATTCCTGATATTTTTACAATCTTATGCAAAAGCAGAATACACTTTGCAGGACATTGCTGGCGAATAAAACAAGAACTGGCGCGTGATCTACTATTCTGGTCACCTAGCCATGGAGCAACACGAGTTGGTCGTCCAGCAATTACCAGCATTGACCAGCTACGTTATGATACAGAATGCCAGCCTAGTGAACTTTAGATCTTGATGCAGGGCCGTGATGAGTGACCTGATAGATTTATGAATGTCCGAGCTAACTCGACCGAATAAATAAAAATATATCTCTGCATATATAAACGCTTCAAT